GGCTGTAGAACCACTGAGCTAAATCCCCCGCCCGTCTTTTGGTCTTAATATTTTATTTTTTATTTTATTATTATTTTTTGGTGCCGGGGATCAAACTCAGAGCCTTGTGCTTTCGAGGCAGGCAGCGGAACCACTGAGCTAAATCCCCGGCCCATGGTCTTAATGTTTTATGATTCTAAGCCTGTTTCCCAGATGCTTGGATTTGGAGTATCACATATGGTCCTGAGATCAGATGTAGGATCACCCAGGCTCACCTACTCAGATTCCAAGCTCCTGGAGACCAGAGCCTGAGATTCCAGGAGTCTACAATTGTATTTTTTTTCAGTGCTGGGGATAGAACCCACTGCCTCCTGCATGCTAGGCAAGCGCCTACCACTGAGCGACATTCCAGCCCCAAGAGTCTGTAATGCTGTCCAGACTTAGTCCTTAAAAGCCTTCTGTCCCAGGCTTAGGGTTTGGGGGATGCAGGGCTGTAAGTCCGCGTGTTTCAGTTGATGTGACTGTTTGGAAACGGATCCACTCACCTCATGCCCCTCAGACCCGCCTCCCCCAGTGGGGCTGTGTTTGGGCCATGACAGGGAATGGCTCTCTGGGCACTGACTCCTTGGCTTTTTGCCGCCCCCACCCTAGGCACAATGATAACAAGAGCTTTCTGGTGTGGGTGAACGAGGAGGACCACCTCCGGGTCATCTCCATGGAGAAAGGGGGCAACATGAAGGAGGTTTTCCGCCGCTTCTGCGTGGGGCTGCAGAAGTTAAGTGTCTGCCTCACGCTACTGACCTCTCCTGCAGCATGAGCGCCCCACCCACTTCCAAAGTACACGCCCATTCCATGCAAGCCGCACCCCACCCCAACAAGCCTAGCCACTTCCCAAGGACCCGCCCTTCCTGTGCCAAGCCTAAGCCCCGCCCTTAGAATTGCTCCATTCCAAGGCCACGCCCCTAATATTGGCTCCATCCCTATGCCCGAGGCCGGCTTCTAAGAACTCGCCTCCGCGCCCTCAAGCCCCGGCCCCTCAGAATCCAGCCTCTGTCTTGGTCACAGGACCCTCCGCAGAACCTCCCTGTCCGCGCCCTCAGCTCCGCCCCTCCGTCCCCACCCATGTCCGCATGCCCCTCTGAACCCTTTGGGGGTGCGCTAACCCTTGGTCCCCCGCCCCTCAGATCGAGGAGATCTTTAAGAAAGCAGGCCACCCCTTCATGTGGAACGAGCACCTGGGCTACGTGCTCACCTGCCCGTCCAACCTGGGCACCGGGCTGCGTGGCGGCGTGCACGTGAAGCTGGCCAACCTCAGCAAGCACCCGAAGTTCGAGGAGATTCTCACCCGGCTGCGCCTGCAGAAGCGCGGCACAGGTTCGTCTGGGGCCGGCCCTTTGCATGATGGAAGGGCAGGTGGAACATCGCCTCGAGTGCTGGGGTCAGTAAGGGCTGCCCTTCTGTGAGCCTCAGTTTCTTCCTCTGTAAAATGGGCGTGAGCACCTCTATCTCATAGGAGTTAGTGTGATATCATCCCCTAAACTCCCTTGGAGGCTTAGTTTCCCCATCTGTAAGTAGGGTGTTGTCAGGATTTAACCTCTGGTAGCTATATTATATTGTTTTTCTTTTTGCGCGCGCGCGTGTGTGTGTGTGTGCGCGCGCGTGTGTGTGTTTTGAGACAGTCTCACTATGTAGTTCAGGCTGGCCTTGAACTCGCTGTGATCCTCCTGCCTCGGCCTCCTGAGAGTGCTGGGGTTAAGGCCTGCGCCACCACGTTTGCTATGTTTTCATGTTGGGTGGTTGAGGGGTGAAGTACCTACCATATCTAAGGCGGGACACGCGGGCCCCCGAGTAGACAGATATTACCCAGGCCCTGTGCCCTAACCCACTGGGGCAGGCACTACATACATGCGGCTGCTGCGGTGCTCCGGATCACGCCCCGTTCTCTACCCCGCAGGCGGCGTGGACACGGCTGCAGTGGGCGCGGTGTTCGACATCTCCAATGCCGATCGCCTGGGCTCGTCCGAAGTAGAACAGGTGCAGCTGGTGGTGGACGGTGTGAAGCTCATGGTGGAGATGGAGAAGAAGCTGGAGAAGGGCCAGTCCATCGACGACATGATCCCTGCCCAGAAATAGGCCGCAGCCTGGCTGCCGCCGCCCACGGGAAGACCTGGCCCTTCGGCCCTTGCCCTGCCCCCAGCCCGTAAAGTTCCCGGGCGCGCAGTCCGCCCTTTTGGAGTTCCTACACCGACCAGAGTTCCAGCCAATGGGCGCCAGCCTCTCGTTTCTGGCCAATGAAAAATCTCCCTCACACCCTCTGGTTTCCAGAGCCCCGCCCACCACAGGAGCTCGGGCTAATGAGGAGCGCCCCAGCAGATCTGGAGCTCTGTGGCTTCTCCACGCAAGACAATAAATCAATAAAAGCAACGGTGGCCTTTGCTGTGTGTGCGATAGTCGTTGAGGGAGGAGGAGGGGGTCTTTTGCTATTGGCCCCGGTGTCCTCGAAACGGTTTGTCCTTTCTAGGTGTGCGTTATCCCATCTCTAAAATGAGGTGAGGGCACAGACTAATCCCACAATAAGGCTGTGTGAAGAACCTGAGCCCTGACAGATATGGCCTGCTGTCACACAGCCAAGCCCGGGCCCTTTCTAACTTCAGCTCTCAGCCAATCTCAGATCTCACGCACACAGGCCGCGAAGGGGCAGAAGCAGGCCAAACGGAACATCTGAATCCGGCCACACATCTCAGCACATCCACTGCTATTATGCTTCTCACTGCTCTTCCTGTCCTTCTACCGCATCCTCTACAGCTGTCAGCCTTTTTTTTTTTTTTTTTTTTTTTTAAGACAAGGTCTTGCTCTGCAGTTCAGACTGGCCTTGAACTCACTATGGAGCCCAGGCTGGCCTCAAACTTGTGGTGATCCTCCTGTCTCAGCCTCCTGAGTGCTGAGATTACAGGCAAGTGCCACCCCACCTGGCTGCTGCCAGCCTTTTGAACTGCTCTTGCTTTGCTAAGGGCCCTGCCATGGGTCCCCACACTCCAAGTGTGGTCCTGTTATTCGCGATTCGCCAAGGTCACTCTAAAATGCATCAGCTGGAGCTCATCTTTCCAGTTCTTCGCCCTTATTGCTCTTTCACTCTGCAATTCCCACCTCAGCGACTGCTCCTGAGTATGGGGCTTGGGTCAGAGCAACCCTACACGGTGCAGGATGGGTCCTTTGGAAACTTGGTCCCAGGAAACAGGCAAAGGGAGCCGCGGCAGAGCAGCTAGGAATGAGAGGAGGTTGAGCAGTCAGGTGGTATCTGGACGCCTATTGGTTGCTGGGTGTGGCAATAACCTCCACTCAGCCAAACAGGCCAAGCCGTGCAGCGGTAAGGACATCGTGGGCTGGCCCAAAAAGAAACACAGGTTTCAGAAATGTAGGCCAGAGAAAGCAGAAGCCGAGGCCTCAGGAGCCTGACAAAGGCACTTTGTTCAAATCGTGGGACCCAGGTTAAGGCTCCTATCCAGGGATTTAGCTCAGTGGTTCTGCCTCCTGCCTTGCAAGCAGAAGGACCCGAGTTCGATCTTGGTACCAAAAAAAATCCCCAAAAACTCAATGCTGGTTAAGACTCTTTAGAGATCAAGAAGTCCATCTTCTTACACAGAGGGGAAACTGAGGTGCAGGGATGTCCCCCAAGAATTCTCAGGACCACTGAGATACCTAAAGGTCAGCTGGTGGAGGTGGCCCAAGCCTGTAATCCCAGCATTCCTGGAGTCTGAGGCAGGAGGCCAGCGAATTTGAGCCCAGCCCGAGGAACTCAGTGAGACCCTGTCTCAAAGTAAAACGATAAAAAGGGCTGAGGATGCAGCTCAGTGTGAAGACCCTGGGTTTGATCCTTAGTAATTTTATCCCCAATTGCAGGTCCCATTGCCAATCCTAGCCCTGCCCTCAGAGGGGAAGAGACAACACTCAAGTGGGGACAGTCTGAATTGTGAATCTGTCGGCGACCACATCCTGCCCATCCTGCCACATAAGCGGCTTAAATCCATCATAGATCCCACCCTGGAATCTCTCCTTTCTCCTGACGCATTGAGCACACAGGAAAACACCCTTCTGCTGGATGTGGTGGCGCATGCCTATCATCCCAGCACTCAGGAGGCTGAGGCAGGACTAGGCTGCAGCTCGAGTTCAAGGCCAGCCTGAAGTACAGAGACGTCTTCAGAAAAAAACAAAAACCAAAACCTTCTTGATCCTCCCTGCTCACAACCTTGCCGTGGATCCCCAGTGGCCCTGGAGGAAAACCCAGGTCTCCCTCCGAGACCTCCAAGGCCCGGCTGACATCTCTGTGACCCTGTGCTCATCTTGTCATGTGCCACTTGCAGCCGGACCTGTACTCTCTCCAGCCGCTGTGTACCCTGTGCCTGCCTGGGATGCAAGTCCACATCTCTGCCCCTCCTCCAGGAAGCCCTCAGCTCTGGTCTCTCTCTGGATGGTTGTCTTGAGGACGCAGCCCCGGCCCAGGACGGTGGACGCCTTCAACTCAGCCTCTCCCTGGCACAAAACCCTCCACAGTTCCCCGGTGCCTCAGGAGAAAGCCCAGCTTGCTCACTTTGACCCCAAAAGCCCTCTGTGGACAGGCTCCACTTTCCCCCATGGAAACCTGTCTGGCTCCCATGTCCCTCCTGGCCTGGATGCCCAATTTTCCTTTGGAGAAACCTTAAATTCTGTTCTAGGTAGGGGTCTGGCCGTTCTAGTCAGTGATTGGTTCGGGGATGACCACATGACTTATCTGAGCCAATTACAGCAGGCCTCAGGACTTTGCTGCAAGTTGACAAGGAAGGTGTCTTGGAGGCAGAACCTAAACTGGAGAGAGGGGAGCGTGGCACTGAGGCCGTCATCTCTGCCACCAGGAAGAAAGCGCCTCCTGGATGAAACTACTGGAACTAACACTGATCAAGATGATGAGGGGGCCTGATGCCTGAATCCAACCATACCAGAAGCTGGGAACCCCTGGACTGTTAAGTAACATAAGCCAACACACGTTTTTTTGCTTTGCCAGTGTAGAGATTGTTAGTCTTCATACAGCATTTCTCTTGCTAATTCTCCACACATGCCCAACACAGCAGCCATGCTGAGATTACATACTGAGTTCTCTCAAGTTACACCATGCAGCCCCACTTCTGTCTGGGCTTTTGCTTTTACCCAAGCCCTGGGCAACTCCTACTCATCCTTCAAAGCCCAACTCCAGCATCAGTTCCTCTGGCACTTCTTTCCCAACCCTCCTCGTTTTTTTCTTCTGAGCTCCCTAGGACAATGGTTTCTCTAGTGCTTGTCCTCCATAGACAGAGGCTCCTTGTGTTTCCGTGTCCAGCACTGGGGTTGGCACGGAGTAGGCACTGGTCAATGACTGTTTATTGAATAAATGTACTACTAGAGTAGGAAGAGGCTAGAGTCCAGTGTAACATGGCAGCGGGAGTGGATGAATGGGCCCTGATAGAGGACCCGGGCCTGGTGGGTGAGGCCAAGTTCTGTCCGCTCTCTTCCACTTCATCCTCGACCCTCACCCCTGCCACTCCCCTCTGCAGAGGACCCGAGGCTCAGGAGCAGCAGCGCAGGCTCAAGGCCAACACCTCCTCTGCGGCCGGGCAGGAACGGAGGGCCCAGGCCAGCGCGGGGGACTCTCCTAAGTTTATCGGGAGACAGGCTGCAGGTGAGGGGCTGACAGAAGGGTGGGGTAATAACTTAAAAACCGGAGGTGACAGTGGCAGCTCCTCGGGAGACCTCTGCAGAAGGGATGGGGTGGTATTTACAAGGATTTGTACAAAGTGCCCCCTCGCCAGCCTGGGGCAGAGGAGGGGTTCGAGCATGGGAGTGGGAGGGGAAGGAATCGGCCTCTCTGACCCCCACTGTCAGCCCCCCAGTTCTCCAGCCTTTAGGCTCAGCAGCTCTCCCTGCCTCTGCCCAAGATCTAATTCTTGAGCTGTTAGGAGGGATGGAAGTTTCCTCAGTTTCCCTTCCTGCCCCTGTCCAGTCCCCAAAGTCTTCTCAGGTGCCCCATGGCAGGGTGAGGGGAGCAGAATCAGATGGAGGCTCCGGGAGGTGCCAGCTCCCACCGACAAGGGCCCTCCCCTCCCCATTCTCTCTGCCAGGAGGCCCCAGAGAGCCGCAAAGAGGGCAATCTCTGCTCCCCAATGTAACCCAGGGAAACCAAGATGGTGATATGGGAGAGAATCCCCTCCCTGTCCCCTTTTCCTCCTGCAGAAGCGAAGGGAACAGGAGAGAGAAAAAGGGACCCAGAGCCACGGAGGCTCAGAGCTCGAGGTCGTTGGAGATGCGGGTGACGAGGGTGCGGAAGGCCAGGGCAGTGCCCGCCACACGGCGGAAGAGCACACCCCGCAGGCCCGGCCGGGGCAGCTGGCAGACCTCCACTTCGAAGTGGGACAGGGGCTCAGGCCCGCCCGCACCCCCGTGCAGGCAGGCCAGCAGGAAGGGCTGTGGCTGGCGGCAGCGGCAGCGGGCGGCCACCGTGGCCTGGCGCAGAGCTGCCATCAGAGCCTCCGGAGGGCGTGAGCTGGTCAGCTTCACACTCCAGGGGAATCGGAGCAGCCGGGGGGCGGTTTCCGCTTGATCCCAAGGTAGATGGCCACTAGGCGGGAAGACAGCAGAGGTCAGGGACCGGAGGTGCGGGAAGGTGGGCGGGGAGCTGAAGGGGCCCTCGGGACAGACACCTGGCTGACCCTCAAAGCCATTCTCCCGTTGGCCTCCAGTGAGCCTCAGCTGAACATCCTCACGGCACAGCCTGCCTGGGTCCCGTGGTTTGGGTGAGAAGTTTTCCTCTATATTTGGGGGACTCATTGGAGCAGCTGAGTTTTTCCCTTCTGGTAATGAAGACCGCCTCTCCCTTGGGGGACCAGGGATTCTGTCCTAGACTCGGCACTGTCTGTTCAAAGGGGTGCCTGGGAATTTCCGGGGGCTTTCTGTCATGTCCTGGGATGGGACACGACTGCGTTTATTAATTAGTCTGGGGGCAAAGGCAGGTCAGAAATGATAAATGTTCTATAGTGTTCAGTAGAACCCTGCACAAAAAAGATCCATCCTCTTCAAAAGCCTGATTTAGGCTCTCTGTCTCCCATGGGGCTGACCCCGCCCCTCACTGCCAAGGGTGTGAATAATGACGTTGTTCTGGCCAAAGAGTGCAGTCCATTTCCCTGGCCACTGTGACTGGGTCAAGAATGAACACATGATCAGATCTAACCAATCACAGTGCTCCATCCTTCTGGCCATAGGCACTGGTTTAGAGATGAGCATGTGATTTAAGTCCAGCCAATGAGAATCATTCCTGGGAAGCTGGAGGAACTTCTAGGATGGCTCTGGTTTCTTTTTCTTTCTTTTTGTTTTTTGTTTTTGGTACACAGGGTCTTATTATGTAGTTCAGGCTGGTCTCAAACTCACAGCAATCCTCCTGCCTCAGCTTCCCAAGTGGTGGGATTACAGACATGTGCCAGCACGCCCAGCCAAGGTGTTGACTGGTTTCTACTGGGGTCTCTAAACTTACACAGTATCAAATTAAAGCAAGTCTTAGAAGAAACTACTGCACTGTCTGCTTTGGTAAATTAAGTTTTATTGGGACACAGCCACACCCATTTGTTTTTATACTGAATATGGTGGCTCTGAATGGCAGAGACTGTCTGGCTCTCAAAGCCTAAAATATTTACTGTCTGGTCTGTACTATTTGACCAGAGCAGCCAGCAGTGCTTCTGCCTTTAATGCCAGAGAGGAAAAAGGCAGCAGGGTGGTGGCAAAGAGAGGAGCTGGGCAGGTGATGGGCCAAGGCTGACGTCAAGACAGTCAGGGGAGGTGGACACAAGAGGAATCAACGCTGGTGCTCGAGGGTGGGTCATGGACCATTTTAGGAAGTTGGCCTTGGAAAATGAGACTTGGGTCCCATTTCAGAGCTAGGCTGAGTGGCAGGGGCTGCTGAGGGCAGTGGGGCACCAGGCAGTCTGGGTAGGCAGATGCACTCACCTTGTGACCTCAGGTCCCCCGATTCTCTCAGGTTCGTCTGTGACCCTAGGGCAGGGGAGGGAGCAGAGTGTCTAATGTGGGCAGAGGCCACCCTCCTCCTCACTCCCAGCCAGGCTCTGGGGAGGCTGGAGTCTGGACTCCATTCCCCCCTCCATCCCCAGAAGGGGCTCATGGTGAAATGGTTAGTGCAGGTCACAGGAGAGATAGCGAAGAATTTGGAAGATGTAAGACAGAGAAGTGGGAGCCACACCTACATACAGCAACAAAGACAGACACACAAATGTGCTCGCACACACAAAAAGCTCTAAGGTTTGCCATCACTGGCTAGGACAATGCCACATGCACAATAAGGGCCCAGTGAACACTGGTAATGGATAGAAATAATAAGTAAGCTCTTTCTGAGACAGGGTCTCACTATGTTCCAGGGTGGCCTTGAACTATGCAGCCCACACCGGCAAGGAACTCTTGGCGATCCTCCGGCCTCAGCCTCCCAGTGCTGGGATTACAGGTGTGCGCCATGTCCAGCTTATTTCTAAATGATATATTCATCAAGCACCTTTCAAGGCAGCATTCTCAGCTCGGTCCATATATCACCCCACTCAGTGCTCACAGCAACCCTGGAAGAAGGTTGTTGTAACTATCACCACTGTACCGAATAGGACGGCAAGGCTCAGAAAGGGCGAGTGACTTGTTCCAGGTCACTCAGCACAGCTGGTTTCTGGACTCCCAGCATGTGGGTGCAGGAGCTGTGCTTCTGCCACCCCAGTGTCTATAAAGTGAGAAGATAAACACCAGACCCCTCATACAGCTCTTCATCCAGGCAAGAGGCCAGGGCGTGTGTGTGAGGGGTGGCATGTGGCTCACATCCCCAGGCCCTCCATGCTTGTGAGCCCATGAACACATGCAGACAGGAAGGCAGTGACAGTGAGAGTGTGGAAGGGACTTACTGATCTTGGATCCCTGGGGCAGAGAAGCACCCGAGACACAGCGGTTAGAGTTCTGTCGTTTAGAGGGATCGAGGGTAACCCTGCAGTATGAGGAGGAGGAGGAGGAGGAGGAGCAGGAGGAGGAGGAGGAGCAGGAGGAGACATCAGGGTGCAGCAGCAGAGCAGAGCAGAGGACAGGTCAGGCCATCGCCCCACCCGTCCCGGGTCCCCAGCCCCTGGCGCTTACCTTCGGGTCAGTTTGGAGGTCAGCTTGGTGAAGAGGTTGGTGGTGGTGCGTGGCCGCCCAGCGGGCAGGGGCGCAGCCTCATGGGCCAGCGTGGGAGAGGCAGGGGGCCCGTTCTGCACACCCCCGCCACCCCCGGCCCCTGCCCGCCGGTCCCGGACCTGGCCACCGTGGAAGGTGCTGCGGACGGTGGAGCCTCGGGCCAGGCGGCTCCGCTCCCCGGACGGGGGAGCCAGGCTGTGACTGGAGGGGGAGGCAGGAGGCACCCGCGGGGCGCCTGAGCTGTGGGCACAGAACAAGTGAGGGTGGGGTGCTGAGGCAGGCCCAGATCCCAGTCCCTCTGATTATTCACTGCCTTTGTCTTGAACCCTGAAACTTCCACTCAGACCCAGGCTGCCATGGACAGTTGCAGTTTGTGTCCTATAGAACCGAGCATTATTTTGTTTACTCTCCCTCCTTCTAAGTTATCTTTTCTTCAAACTGGCCCCCTCCAAACTATCCCTATTCCAACTCTCCTCTTTTTAAAAAATTTCTATTTTTCAATTTTTAATTTTTTGGAGACTGGGTCTCGCTGTGTAGTCCAGGTTAGCCTTGAACTCACTATCTAGCCCAGGCTGGTGAGGTTCCTGCCGCAGCATCCTGAGTGCTGGGATTACAGGTGTGTGCCAACATCCCTGGCATCCAACTCTCCTCTCTCTAGACTCTACAACTCAATAGTGTGACAGCCTTGCTGTTCGCAATCCAAAGTTAAGGAACCAAATCAACTTGGCAAAGACTATGGTATCTGAGCATGGGTCAGGGGTTTCCAGGGACATCCTTGCCTGACATCCAAACTCAGGGAACAAATGTGAACATCAAGGGTGCCTACACTCATTGACAACTTCTTGACAGGTGATAATAAGGAGGAAAGGACCCCCTTTCTAACTCTTTCAAGATGCTATATGAGGGTCCTTCTGTCCCAGGACTTTCTTCAAGTCCCTCTGACCCACTCAGTCCCCATAGTGAGTGGCAGACCTCCAATTTCTATCTTCCCAGGGACTCCCAGGGGCAGTCTGGATTTCAGTGAGAAAACCCAGAATCCATTCTGTTTTACTCTTGATATCCAGACCCCTAAAAGGAGCCAGGCACATGGCCTCCTAGCCAGAGACTACATTTCCCATCCTCCCTTGCACCTATGGTCAGTCATGTGACTATACTCTGGAAAATAGGAAGCATAGGTGCTTTGAACCATTTCTGGGAAACTCCTTTAAAAGAACACTGCCAGAGGCCGAGGATTTAGCTCAGTGGTTCTGCTGCCTGCCTTGCAAGCGGAAGATCCTGAGTTTGATCCCCAGTGCCCACCCCACCCAAAAAAAAAAAAACAAAATAAAAGAATGTTGCCAGGGCCAGGTATTTAGCTCAGTGGTTCCGCTGCCTGCCTTGCAAACACAAGGCCCCGAGTTCAATCCCTAGTACCAAAAAACAAACAAAAAAGTGAAATAAAAGACTCCTGCCTGCCCTCTACTCCTTTACCACTGCAGGCTGCCAAGGACACTTTGGAACTGGTGCAGTGGTCTCAGAGCCAGAACTGGACCCTTTTGTTGAGACTGGCAGGATTACCTGGGGCCCTCGGAGAAACCGACCAGTCCACCTTCACATGACTCTGTCCTAGTGGGCTAAATCTTCATTTTATCTAAGCCGCTGTACCTTAGGGTCTCTTCATTCCTCCAGCTCAATCTGTAATTGATCCAGTGTTTTCTGAGCAGAACAGGGAAACCACATATTCTAGTGGCTACAAATACTGATTCTGAGCCGGGCCGGGTGGCACATGCCTGTAACCCCAACACTGGGAGGGTGGGGCAGGAAGAGTGCGAGATTGAGCCCAGCCTGGGCAACTTAGTGACTTGCTTCAAAATTTAACTTAAAAATAAAAGGACTTGGGCCAGGGATTTAGCTCAGTGGTTTCGCTGCCTGCCTCACAAGTGCAAGGTCCCAAGTTCCATCCCCGGTACCAAAATAAATAAATAAAATAAAATAAAATAAAAGGGCTAGGGATGTAGTTAAGTGCAAAGGCTTAAGGTTCAATCCCCCATGGGGGGGCGCACCTAAAAAATTTGACTTTGGAGTAAGTTTGCAATCTTTGCTCCTTGACTCACACCTATATAGCCTTGGCCAAGTTATTCAACCTCTCTGTGCCTCATTTCCTCAGCTGAAAACTGGAGACACGAGGATGGAAAAGCAGCAAGCCAGCTAATGTACACAGGGCCCAGAGCACATGGTGAATGCTCACTGTTACTGTTTTTATTCAGTAACCACAAGAAGGTTCTCGGTCACTGAATTCCTTCTGTCTTTGGACCCCATGCCAGGTGCAGGACACCCTGATCTCTCCTGGGTCCCAAAATGGAGAATGGGTCCATTCTCCTGTCCCATTTACAAACGGGAAGACAAAGGTTCAGAGATTTGCCCATAGCCGCTTGGTAATGAGTGCACAGGCAAGACCCGGACTCAGCACAGACATGTGTCATGGAATCGAAACTGTCACCACTCCATGGCTCTCTGCCCCACCCAATCTATTAGGTGCAACCCCAGTGCCTCGGTGCCAGCCAGTACCCAGCTGGAGAAGGCGCCCTGTTGGGAGTGAAGTGCTGCACACTTGTGCTGTGCTCTGCCCTGATCCAGGCGCCTCCTGTGGCATCTCAAAGGAACCACACACACAGGCCACCATCCAGAGCCTAGCCAGCCAGAGGATGTGGGAGCCGTGACAATCTGGGGCTTCTCTCAAGTTCTAAAAATGGACCATTCAAAAATTCCTCTCAGGTTCCTGGGGCTGGTGGGTGGGCAGTGGGGCCGCCTGCTTTCCTGGGCTGACAACTCGTGCGTTCACAGGGGAGCATTTTCCAGGGGTGCTGAGAGAAGGCAGCTCAGCTCTCTCCCGCCCCCCGTCCCCTTCCCCACCTCCATACCTGTTTTCTTTGCCATTTGCCAACAGGGACGGGCGCTCGGCCCCAGGGCGCTCTGTGCAAACATAGGTGTTCCTGCGGGTCATCATGCTGGGGGGGAGGTTGTTCTGGGGAGACACAGGGTGTGTGTGTGTGTGCGTGTGTGTGTGTGTAGACGCCCTGCCCCCCGGCCCCACCTGCACCCCAGGAGTGAGTCAGGCCTGTGTGGGGCACCAGGGCAGGACGGGACATGAAAGGTTCCGGGATTCCCAGTGCCCTGGGTGGAGTTGGGAGATGGGTAGGGCACAGAGAGGGCTTCCTGGGGACCTGAGGGAAGGTGGTCAGGCACCCTTGTCCGTTTTCCTCTCCGGGCATCGCCTCCCCTTACCTGGTGCATCCAGCAAACACTTCTTGAGAATGCCCTTCCTTCAGCCACTCTGTCGTCTACCACCCCCCCCCCCTGTCCCCTCCCACGGCTCCTGCAGGTGCAGCTCCAGCCCCCACCCTGCTCTGCTCATTCAGCGCTGCAGCCCCGATCACTCTGGTGCGCACACTGCCCCCAGGACCTCGAGCTTCAAGCAGAGTCAGGATCACGCAGGCTCGTGAAATGTTTCGGGAAGAGATCTCTCTTTCTATTCTCTGGGAGTTTGTCCGAGATTGGAGTTACATGGGAGAGGACCCGGGTTCTGTCCCCAGCACCGCAAAAAGACAAATTCTTTTTTCTTTTCGCGATACTAGAGTTGGAACCCAGGGGCTCAAACATGCCAGCCAAGCACTTCACCACTTGCCTGCAGCCCCAGCCCCCAGCCTTGGGATTAGTTCTTCCTTAAATGTTTGTAAGAATTCCACCAGAGGAGGGCTGGGGGTGCAGCTCAGTGGCACAGGTCTTGCCTAGTGTGTGCCGGCCCTGGGTTCCATCCCCAGCACCACAAAAAAAGAAAAAAAGCAGCTGGGTATGGTAGTGTATCCAGGAGGCTGAAGCAGATAATCCCAGCACTCAGGAGGCTGAGGCAGGAGGATGGCTGTTGAGTTGGAGGTCAATCTGGGCTACATACTGAGTTCAAGACCAACCTGAACTACATAGGGAGATTCAGACTCAAATAAGTAAATAACCAACACCCCCCCTCTCAACAACTAACACCTCAAGATTCCACAAGTAGGAACCATCTGGGGCTATAATGTTCTCTATTTTGGGTGTGTGTGCGTGTTAAAGACAGGGTCTCACTATGTAGTTCAGGCTGGTTTTGAACTCACTATGTAGCCAGGCTGGTTTAAAATTCGCAGTGATCCTCCTGCCTCAGCTTCCCGAGAGCTGGGATTACAGGTGTGTGCCACCACGCTGGCTCTTCCTGTGATTCTGAAAGCCCCTAATTCCCTGGATTAAGTCCTTCCTGCCAGTACTCCAATGCTCGGACCACACATCTTTCTGTTTCTGTCAATGAGTGCTAATTCGTTCACTAGTACCAGGCAGAAGCTCATGAACACAGAGCCTACTCAATAAATGCTTGTTGGGGCCAGGGATTTAGCTCCGTGGTTCCGTTGCCTCAAAAGTGCAAGGTCCTGAGTTCGATCCCCGTACCAATGAATGAATGAATGAATGCATGCATGGTCGCTGGATGACCAGGGATCATGGAGTTCCGAGAGGTGCTCTGGAGGACGAGATAAAGGCAGTGTCCCACGGGAGCCACACCGCCCGCCTGGGCCACTCACAGGGGTGCTGGTGCTGTCCTTCCGCCGCTCGGGGATCTCTGCCTTGTTAGGGTTGTGAGCGCTGCTGACCATGGGGCTGGAGGGGGGCAGCCCCCGGCTCCCGCTGCCTGCCGTGCTGCAGCTTGCCTTCCGGCCGGGCAGTCGCTCCTCCTTCAGCTCTGCCTCCCCCGTGCTGGTTGGGCTGCGCTTGGGGTGCAGGGGCGCTGGGGATGGGCCGCCTGGCGGAGGGAGAGGCTGTTAACAGCACAGAAGCGCGTGGGGCACCCTGGGAACTGCATGACTCCACACAGTCTCCTGGGGCCATCCTGATAATAACTCAAAATCATCTGGGCACAGAAACCCGCCCAGAAATGCCCGCCACATAAAATGCCAGGATGGGAACCTCTAGTCTGGGAGGATGGGAAGTTCACGCCCAGCCTGGGCCACTTAGCACCTTAGCAAGACCCTGTGTCAAAATAAAAATAAGGGGCTAGGGATGTAGTTCATGGATTTAGCACCCTTGAGGTCGATTTCCAGTACTGGCGGGGAAAGATTGGGAACAACTTAAATGCCCTTTAACACGGGAGTTAAATAAGCCTAAGGAATTAAATAAGCCTAGGAATTCCATCAAAGGCCACACAGTGTGAGATTCCATTTGTAGGAAATGTCCACAATAAGCACATGGGCCTTTTTTTTTTTTTTTTTTGCAGCACCAGGGATCGAACTCAGGACCTTGTGCGCTTGCCAGAGAGGTGCAGTGCCACTAAGCTAAGATAGATGAAGGACTGGAAATTGATGGCTAATGGCTGTGGCATTTCTTTTTGGGGTGATGAAAATCTAACACTGATGGCAGTAAGGGGTTCACAACTGTTACTACTGTAAAGCCACCAAATTAAACCCTTTATGTGCATCAGATGTATGGTATGTGAAGTTTATCTCAATAAAGCTGTGGAAAAGAAATAGTGGGGAGGATTAACATCAGAGAAGGAAGTGTGTAACACACCTCTCAGAAGTTTCCATGGTTAATTCATGGCAGTAGTGGGGTCATTTTCGGTAGCAGATTAGATTATCTGTTGATTGCAGAATACGGAATATAATCCACAGCCTTCTTCCATTAGGAAAGGCTTCCCCTCACTTCAGTGTAGAGAAGTGAGAGGGCAGGCTCTCAGCAGCCACTTTGTACAATGTGTTCTGTGCCCCAGTTACAGTGGGTTAATTCCAACTAGACGCTGATATCAGATTTCTACGCCTGAAAAGTAGACTAAAGTCATTTAGCCCATTTAGAGAGGTGTCTAAAACTGAGATGTAAGAAATTTGCAGAATGAAATCAAGAAAAAAGATAACAGGAGATAAGTAAGAGATAAAAGAAAAACCAGAAAAGCAGAGGGGAAGTGAGACACAGAAAGCATCTGCTCTGGCCCTGGCGGCTGTCCCAGATTCAATCCCTTACTGAGCTGCCTCCAAATCCCATGCACCATTGTGCCTCTTTGTAGGATGTTCCCTGGAAGCTGTGGTGAGCCCTGTGGGGCTGCAGCCTCTGGCACGGGAGAGCCCTGGTTAAAGCCAGGCCAGGTGACACTCACAGAAGTCGCTGTGCCTGCGCTGGCGGTGGTAGGTAGAGGACGAGCTCCGCTGCCCTTTGCCATGGCTGGTGCCTTTGCTGGAGCTTGTTCCGTTGGTGGTGTCGCTGGGCGCCCGCACCCGTGCCAGGGCCAGCCCTGGGGCACCCCGGTCCCCACCCTCCTGTGAGCAGATGACAGACGAGGCACCTTAGAGCCCTGTCCCCCAAGTTCCCCCCAGGCATCTGCCCTCCCAAGGGCCCCAGGCGCCTGCTGACCTCAGTCTTCCTGCCCAGCAGGAGGTAGGTGGCAGTCACTTCGTTGTACTTCTGGCTGGTCAAGGCCTCTTTGATTTCTTCCCGTGTGTAGCCCATCCCCACCATCACCTCTGGACAGGGGTTAGAGAGAAGTGTCAGCCTCCCAGACCCTTTCCTCTACCCAGTCTGTGTCACTTGCCAGAGTCTGCTCTTTGGCCTGTGGAGTATCCATTCTCCCTGCCAGCAACACCTCATTCACCTCGAAGGATAAATGTTCCTCATCTGCTCCACACTCCAGGGGCAGGCATATGACCCACATCTGGCCATTCAGAGTGTTTCATCCCCCCAAAGCCACACTGATTGGTTCAGAGCAGGCATATGACCCAAATCTGGCCAACTGGAGTGTTTCATCTCAGGCCACACTGATTAGTTCAAGGACAGCCAATGGCCATGACCTACTGGACTATCAGGAAAATTCCCAGAGACTGGATATTCCAATAGCCAGATTGGGCATCCAGGGTACTAGTAAGCAAATGCAGACTGTGGCAAAAGCTACATGGGAAAGCACCCTGGCTTTCGTAGTTACGTGACCAAATAAATTATCACTATTAGGTTAAATCATATGAAACTGCTGATATTGGCAATTTTTGATCTGTATTTTTACAGGTCAATTCATACGGTTTAACTTATATGGTTTTGTTTTTGGTTTGTGTGGTACCGGAGATCGAACTCGGGACCCTTGCACTTGGAGGCAGGTGTGGTGCCACTGAGCTCAGTCCCCAGCCAACTTCTATGTATTTTTGGTTCAACCTATTCCTATCAGGTGGTTTAGACCAGACTGACCTGGGTTTTCTGTTACTTGCTAAGGTAGCCAGGCTACAATGACGGCCTCAGTTTCCTCAGCAGTAGGACAAAGGGTTAATGAATGGTTTCTAAGAGGCTCTTCCGGAACTAACAGAGTGCAGCCTGACATGGTGGCAGAGGCCTGTGATCCCAGCTACCTGGGAGGCTGAGGCGGAAGGATTCCAAGTTCAAGCCCAGCCTGAACAACTTAGTGAGACTGTCTCAAAGTAAAGGAAAGCCCTGGGTTCAGTCCCCAGTACAACTCTGAGGCAGGCTCTGTGACTATTCCCATGTGACAGAGGAGGATCTAGAAGCTCAGAGGGGGGCCACTTGCTCAGGGTCACACAGCAGGAAAGTGACCATGCAGGGACCGCAGGCCAGATTCCTCACTGCTCTCCCTAGCAGCCTGGCAAGTTCCACCGAGGCACACCCAAGGACAAGGAGCCCCGACCTCACCAATTCGCTTGGTGTCCCCGAAATCCTCCTCGGGCTCTGTGTATGGCTTCAGCTCCTCACCCTCATAGCCGATGTTGATCCATTTGTCTTTCATGATTTGCTGCAGGATGGGGATCAGAGGATGGGAGTCAGAAGGAGCCAGAAACGCACAGCTCCCTGCCTCCCAGGAGGACCCCAGACGAGCTACATCCTGCCGGGCACCCCAGTGCCTCACAGCCCAGCAGGGAGGCTCCCTGCCGGCTGGCACTGCCCCGCCCCACCCTCCTCCTCTGCCTCCTGTGGGTCCCGGCACCCTGTAATCATCCCAGAGCTCATTAGCTAATTACTGCCTGGCAGGAAGTGGGTGAGGCTGCTAGGGACATGGGGAAGGGCCTGGGAGCCTCACCCCCAGCAGCTGGGCAGAGTTCAGGGGAGACAGGATGGAGGCTCCGGGCTCACCTCGAGGGTACAGCGTTTAGCTGGGTTCAGCACCAGGAATCTCCGCAGGATGCTTTCACAGTCTGTGGACATGTAGAAGGGGACCCGGTACTTCCCCCGGAGCACGCGCTCCCGAAGCTCCTGCAGGCGGGGACTGGGTCACTGGGGGAGGGACCTGGCCGGCAGCCCCTCACCACATGCACGCTGACCTCCACCCGACACAGCAACAGCTCCAGTGGGGCAGGCAAAACCTCACCTGACCTCATTTCGTCTTCTCTAAAATAGAAGCCTGGCATGGTGGCGCACACTTGTAATCTCAGTGCTCAGTAGGCTGAGGCAGGAGGATCGCTGCAAGTTCCAGGCCAGCCTGGGCTACACAGTGAGTTCAGGACCAGCCTAAACTACATAGTGAGACCCTGTCTCCAAAACCCCATAAATAAATAAATAAGAACATGTTATAGATGCAGCAACTTGGAAAGAGTTTTAAGCTCCACAGCTTTCCATTCAGAGAAATCTGAGAGGAAGCAGATCTGTGAGCCAGATGAGGAGGCGGGTGAGAGCGTGGGCACCTGGGACCTCAGTCTCTTCATCCACACCAGGGATGGCAGGTCCCACTTAACTCGCGCTGCTGGGGCACTGGAGAGCTCGTATCTGCAACAGGCTTAGCAGAACCTGGACCCAGAGCAAGCACTGTTTAAATACTAGGCTTACAGCCATGTAGCGTGGGGGCACTCGCCTGTCACTCCAGCTCTCCGGGAGGCTGAGGCAGGAGGATCAGAAGTTTGAGCCCAAACTGGGTAATTTAGCCAGACCTTGTCTCAAAATATAAAACAAACAAACAAACAACAATGGCTGGGGACACAGCTCAGTGCAAGGGCCCTGGGTGCAATTCCCAGTTCTGTCACAGACACAGCTTCTAACAGCGGAGGGGATCTTGTCCACCATGCCTAGCAGTGCCCATTTCCAAGAGCTGCGGTTCTCCTAGCACCTCTGTGTGATTATTCGAGGACCTTTTTTTTAAGCATCTTTCATGAGGAACCACTGCTGGGCTGTAAAAGTAAATGGACCCTGGGATCCAGGCCCAGCAGATCAGGACAGGCCTCACACCTGAATAAAGTGCAGGCATCGGGGGAAGAAAGCAGGTGTGGACAGAGTGGAGGTGACGGGTCCGGGTCCGCTGGGGTGGAGCCAGGTCCTGGACTGGGAGCGACCTTCTGCATGTGCCTGGGGGCACCCAGGCGGGTCTGAGACCACCGTGGTCAGGGGCTGTGAACATTTCCCATAAATACCAAGCTCATCTCCCGACCCGTACAGGGCAGCGTCCGGAGGTTTCCCATGGATCCTGGGCATTCTCAGGATACTTTCAAGTGTGGCTATGAGGCCCATTTCTCAGGTGAGGAAACCAGGGAGCAAGGAGGTGAGGCCTTTCGCCCAAGGGGATGAACAGCTGGAAAGCAGCAGGACCTGGGTTCAAACCCAGGCAGCTGGGCTGTGGGGCTGCTGCTAGGAGCACCAGAATGGCTTCGAGCATGACACTGTGGCTAGAAGCCAAGCCTGGCTGTGAGGGGAGACCCCTACCATCCCCACCTGTAAGGGACTTGTCCAAGTTCACTCAGAAAGGAAATGACAGAGCAGGAACTGCCTCCAGCTGCCCTTGCCCTGGTGTGAAGCCAGGGCGGCACGTGACAAGGGCCTGGGGTAGATTCACCCTGAACAGAGGTCTCCCGGCTCCATGCTGGAGCTCTGAATCAGTACTGTGTGACGCCCCAGCCCTAGAGCTGGGGCACGCCAGTGAGGTGGGAATCTCCGTGGGTCTCGCCCAACAGAAGCAGCTGAGGCTCGGCAAAAGTGAGCCTGACTTCCCAATTTCACTCCTCCCAAGGCACAGGGAGCAGGGCAGAGCAACCCTGCTTGGGAATCCCTTAAACACCCACCCTGTCCACCCAGGAAGGACAGCAGCAGCCCGAACTGAGGGGCACTGGGCAGGTGGTGTTTGGGACTCATCACAGCGTTCCTGAAGAAAAGACAAAACGGCGTGGGAGAGAGCAGCTAACAGTGGAATATGCCGGGAGGCCGAGGGTGGCCCAGCTGGGAGGAAAAAGCAAGCCCAGTGTTCCTGGTGTTCCTGGGACGAAAACAGAGCCTAAGCACTGGACGGGGTGGAGGCCAGGACTGCGTCAGCCCTGCACTTCCCGTGTGCCATCCACAGGAAGTGTCCAGGACTCAGGAGATAACCCGCCTGGGCGTCTGGGGACAAAGGGACACGGCGGCGTCAGTAAGGAGCCACCAGGCATCCATCAGTCAGGACGATGGAACTGAGCCTGTGGTGCATGCCTGTGATCCTGGCACTCAGGGAGGCTGAGGCAGGAGGACTGCAAGTGTCAGCCCAGCCTGGGCAACTTAGTAAGACGCCACCTCAAAATAAAAAATAAAGGGCTATGGAGGTATCTCAGTGTGAAGGCCCTGGATTATTCAATCTCCAGTGCTGAAAAAAAAAAACAATACCTCAAAAAACACAAAAGAAAAACCAAGCAAACCAAAAAGAGTGCTGCACTGCCACGTGCACGCTGAGACAGTCAGGGCGCCATGGCTGACATCAGCCTCCAAGGCTTCCTGGAAGCTTCCAGGTGCTCTGTTCTAGTCCCAATTTCTCTGTAGCTTGGCAGCGGTTCCAAATCAAAAGTTCAAAGGAAGAAAACAAGCACACTCACCCCACACTTCCCACCCACTTCCAGTGTCGGGCGAGCCAGAGCCTGACATCGTATCTACTTTGCTCATTTATTCTGTTTCTGTCCGGCTCGCTGCTGGAATGTCAGTCCGTGAGGACAGAAATTTTTCTGCTGTGCGTGCACAATTCCAGGCTTCTGAGTGTATTCTCAGAGTTGCACAATCACGGCCACAATCAATCTAAGAACATTTCCCATCAGCCTCCAGGAAACTCCGACCCCTGTAGCTGGGAATCCCTCCCCAGGCAACCACGCGCCTGTTTTGTCTCTGAGGATCTGCCTACCGGGGACATTTCAGAGCCATGAAGTCACTCTGTGGCCTGTCACTGGCTTCTGTCAATTAGCAGAACTTTTTTTTTTTCAGTACTAGAGGTTGAACCCAGGGCCTTCACACTGAGCTATACCCCAGCCCTTTCTTTACTCTTTATTTTGGAACAAAGTCTCGATAAGTGGCTACACTGTCCAACTGGGCTTGAACTTGAGATCCTCCTACCTCATCCTCCCAGAGGGCTGGGGTCACAGGCGTGCAACACCATGTGCAGTTTATTTACTTATTTATTGTTTTTTTGAGACAGTCTCACTATGCAATTCAGGCTGGCCTTTTAACTCACTATGTAGTCCAGCCTGGCTTCGAACTCATGGAGACCTTCCTGCCTCAGCCTCCCAAGTGCTGGGATTACGCCCAGGGGATAGGACACCCAAGGGGAGGGGCTGAGGCTCTCTGGTTCACACAAAGCCTCAGGGTCTGTGCCCAGAGGAGGGCACCAAACATTTCCCAGGTGGGTTAGGGAGCAGGATTGGAACCCGGGTCCTCAGCTGCTACATTCACACCCTGGGCCCCAACCCAGCCCCGTGCACACAGCTGTCCCCATGACTGTGGGGGCCTGGGCGCTGCCTGCATCCCGCCAGGTGACCCCAGGCCAGCCCAGCCTGCAGCCCCAGCCCTGCTCGGCACCTTGAGGTTGTGGCCATCGAAGGGCAGGGAGCCGCTGACGAGGGTGTAGAGGATGACGCCCAGGCTCCAGATGTCCACCTCTGGCCCGTCGTACTTCTTGCCCTGGAACAGCTCCGGGGCGGCGTATGGGGGACTCCCACAGAACGTGTCCAGCTTCGAGCCCAGTGTGAACTCGTTGCTGAAGCCGAAGTCGGCGATCTTGATGTTGGCCTCGGCGTCCAGCAATAGGTTCTCAGCCTGGGGCGCGGGAGGAGGCGGAGGGTGGGCTTGCTGGGGACCCGGGCCCCTGCTGTGTGACCCTGGACAGCGACTTGGCCTCTCTGGGCCAGTCTGCTCTTCCACAGAGCAGGAACAATCTTAGTCCCCACTTCACAGGGTAGCTGGAGAATTAAATGTGTTAACAGGCCTAGGACAACACTTTGCTTCCAGCGAGTGCTGTGACATTAGTTAACACACGGGATCAGAGCTGAGGTTTGCAGCCAACTCCTGCACCCTCTCTGAGCCTCAGTTTAACCAGCAGATTGCTCAAGAGCCATAAAAATGAAAACAACTGCTTCATCTACCTGCACACCTGTCATCCAGGAGGCTGTGGGGATCATCATTTTTTTGTTTTTGAGGCAAGGTTCTGCTATGTAGTTCAGGCTGGCCTTGAACTATGTAGTCCAGGCTGGCCTCGAACTATGTAGTCCAGGCTGGCCTCAAACTTGCAGTGATCCTCCTGCCTCAGCCTCCTGAGGGCTGAGATTCCAGGCAGGTGCCACCACGCCCGGCAGGGAACTGTCATTTATAATAAGAGAGGCTGCATGAAATGAGGTTAAGAGTACAGATTCGGAGCCGGGCGAGGTGGTGCACACTTGTAATCCCAGCACTCTGGGAGGCTGAGGCAGGAGGATCTCAAGTTTGAACCCTGGGCAACTTAGTGACTAGTGAGGCCCTGTCTCAAAATAAAAAATAAACCTAAAAAGGGCTAGAGATGTAGCTCAGGGTGGAGGCCCCAAGTTTAATTCCCAGTACAACAACAACAACAACAAAAGAATACAGATTCTGGAAGAATCCCTACTCCACTGCCTGCCTGCTGCGCGACTTTGGGCAGGTTACCAGACCACTCTGTGTGTGACAGTCACAGCGCCTGCCTCACAGCCCATCCATCACTGTTGTGTGTGCTTCTTGTGGCACGCGGTCTCGTGGCAGCCATCACCCAGGTGAGCAGACTGAGGCTGGGGAGCCACCTCTCCTCCACAGCATGGTGGCAGAGCTGAACCCAAACAGCCAGGCACGTCCACGGCCTAAGCGCGAGGCGCTCCCAGCATCTAGCCCCCACCAGCCTTCAGGACTGTCGGCCCGTAGGTGGCCCATCCCCCTTCAGGCCACCAGAATTGTGGCCTCCTGCTGGGTCTCCCTCTTTCTCCTGGGTTCTTTTTTTTTTTAGCACTAGAGACTGAACACAAGGCTTTGACTGAGCTGCATCCTCAGCCTTTTAAAATTTTTATCCTGGGACAGGATCTTGGTAAGTTGCTCATGCTGGGCTTGAACTTGGAATCCTCCTGCCTCAGCCTCCCTACCTCCTGCCCCAAGCTGGGGGCAGGGGGTAGGGGGTAAAAAGGCACAGCTCATCCCTAAACCAGACTCTGACAGCATGTGGGGTTGGTGCCATTTCCCTTCCTGGTGTTTGCAGCTTCACAATTCAGCACCCCCTTGGTCCCCCAGATGCACCAGCAGGACCCCAGATTCATTTTAGTTAGTTCCAGGACCTTCCACCAAGGGGCAGCCTGAGGTGACTCTCACCACCGACCTCTCCTGACAGGCAGAGAGGAGCCGGGGAGCTCCACGCAGTGAGCCAGGAGACTTCTGAGGCAATCTGACAGTGGATTTTCCGCCTTTAGGATCTAATAATTCTAAAATTGGGGTCTTCATTCTGTATACCTGTTTCTCATTTCATTCTCCTTGCTATCTGTTTTTACTATATTTTACCAAAAGTACCCGTCCACAATGAATTAGAAAGCTTTTCTTTTTGTCTTGAAATGGCCTCGCTATGTTGTCCAGGCTGCTCTTGAACTCCTCAGCTCCAGTGACCCTCCTGTCTCAGCCTCTCAGCAGTTTTCTTGTTTTGTGTGGCAGTGCTGGGGATCAAACCCAGGGCCTCAGGCATGCCAGAAAAGTGCTCCACCACTGAACTACATTCTTAGCCCTTTTTTATTTCTTATTTTGAGACAGGATTTTACTAAGTCACTAAGTTGCTCAGGCTGTACCTGAACTTGCAATCCTCCTGCCTCAGCCTCGCAGACTGCTGGAATAACGGGTGTGCATGAGCACACCCAGTAATTTTTTAAAATAATGAAACAAACCTGGTCCTGCGCCACAGAGCAAGGCAGAAGGCCTCTGCTCCCAGCCTAGCACACAGCAGGTGGTCACCATGGACCACAGTGGAGACGACTTGATTTGCCCAGACAAGGCCCATCTCAGAAGCGACTCCTAAGGTTCTCTCTGAGCAGCCTGTGGCCGGAGGTCCCTTGGAAAAAGGCCCAGCTTGGCGCCCTGGTGGCTTCTTTCCCTCTGAGGCCCTTCTCGGGTGCTAAGGTCCTTGATTCTGAGGCCCTGCAGCAGTGTCCCTGTGTCTCCCAATCCTAAATCCTGCATGATGCCAAGGCCCGAAGGCTGAAAGTGACAGACTCTATCACCTACTAATGTCCCTGTCTAGCACCCATGTCACCAGCCAGGCCACCCTAGGACACCACTCCTCTGCTTTGTCTCCCCTGCCACCCACTCCCTCATCCGTTTTGTTTTTTTTTTGGTACCGGGGATCAAACTCAGAACCTTGCACTTTTGAGAAGGCAGGGGCAGTGCCACTGAGCTACATCCCTGGGCCCCCCATCCTTGGTTTGGTCACAGAAGCTCAGGACTGGCTGAGGGGTCCTGGGAGCTGGGGTCCCCAAGGACACAGCGGGGCAGGGCTTACCTTCAGGTCCCTGTGTACGATGTTTTTCTGGTGGCAATAGTGCACAGCTGACACGATCTGGGGGAGGGAGAGGGGAGTTACGCGTGGCCCCCACAGCCCTCAGCCTCCCTCGGTGGCCCATGAAGCCAGGTACAACTGGGCTGAGACCCCAGGCCTCCCCTAGGTGCAGGCCGAGCCCCAGGGCCTCACACCCCGCTGCTGTGACAGCAGATGTCGGGGCACCCACACAGACGCCTCCGCTGGGACATCCGGCCTCCCCCACAGAGACAGACTCAGGGCCTCAGAACCAGCGTCCTCCCCACACCCACACGTGGAATTCCCAGGGGAACATCGAGAGTCTGGAGACGGGCCTGTGGTCCCCACTCACTGTCAGGACAGTGTGGCAGGGCGGCCACGCTGGCCCTCACTGACCCCGGACACCCCACTCCCTCCCCGCACACACCTGGGCAGCTGCACACCGGCACGTCCTCTCGTCCCCAGTATCACCCCCACCTGACTGGCACCCACCTACCCACCCACCCAGCACCCCGGGCTGCCCCGCCACCCATGGAGCACCGCACGCACACCCACATCCAACGCCTGCCCTCAGCCCTCACCTGTCGGAACTTGGCCCGCGCTTCCTTCTCCTTCATGCGGCCGTGCGACACGAGGTAGTCAAACACTTCTCCTGTGGGGCAGAGGCTGAGCGGGTCAGGACAGGGCCGGGGGCGGTGGCATGGGGGACACGGGGGGGGCGGGGGGGGGGGGGCGTGGGACGGGGCCTCACCGGCACTTGCATACTCCATCACCAGGTACAGTGTCTTCTCCGTCTCGATCACCTCGAAGAGCTTCACTGCCGAGGCAGGGAGGGAAGGTGCAGGGTTAGGGGCAAGAGGCCAGCCCACCACCCACATCCAGTTCAGTAATACCCCTGCTCAAGACTCTTCCGTGGCTCCCCATGGACCAAAGATGATCCAAACTGCCCTGCCCTCTTTACCACCTTTTCTATGGTGGGTTTTCTCACAAGACTGTTGGCTCAGAGATCTGTACCCTTTTTTTTTTTTGGTACCAGAACTCGAACTCGGGACCTTGTGCTTGTGAGGCAGGCGTCGGAACGACTGAGCTAAATCCCTGGCCCTGTACCCTTTTTTTAAAAACAGGGTCTCACTATGTGGTCCAAGCTGCCCTTGAACTCATTATGTAGCCCAGGCTGGCCTTGAACTCACAGTGACCCTCCTGTCTCAGCCTCCCAAGTGCTGGGATTATGGGCCTGCACCACCAGGCCTGGCTGTACTTGCTTCTTTCCCTATGTCTGCAGCACCTGGCATACAGTGGCAGTGCAGTACATTTTTACTGAGTAAGAGAAATGGCTGAGGGAGTAAACGCTGCTCCACATCCAGGCCCAGCAAAACCCTGCTTCTCTCGGAAAGGCCCCTTCCTGCCACCTGATTGAACAATAATGACAATATACAAAAAACCAGACCGGATCCCAAAGCTCACTGTGAGAGAAGCCTTTTAGATACGTGATCGTATTCAACCCTCCCAGTGACCTTGACCTTGGAATGGGTCCTGGTGCTACCCTCATTCCAGAAGAAGAAATCAAGGCCCAGAGAGGGTAAGTGGCTCGCTCAAGGTCACACAGCTGTGACAGCACTCAGGAGAACCAGGTCCCTGTGCTACTCCCACCTCTGCCCATCCCCACTCCAGCCGGCGGCCTGCCCGGCCCTCCTCACCGATGTTGGGGTGGTTTAGGCCCTTCATGATGCGAACCTCCCGGAAGAGCTGTGCCAGGCCGGAAAAGAAGACAGAACGAGCGTGAATGGTTCTGGGGTCCCCTCCCCCGCCAGGCCAAGGAAGGAGGGGTCAGGTGGGTTTGTTCACACCCTGCTTCCCGTCCCTGGGTCTCACCTTCTGTAGGCTGCTGGGGTTCAGCTGGGTTTTATCGATGATCTTGATGGCAACCTAGAGGTGGACAAAGGAAGGAAAGGAGCAAAGGAGAGAAAAGCCCAGGTTCCATAGGCTGTTCCTGGAAGAGCTCTCTCTCGGGGGCCCAGGGCCTTCGCACACATGGCTCCTCCACTCTCGAGGCTCCAGTGAGTGTGTGAGGTGACACAGGAGGTGTGTGTGCTAGGGATCGAACTCAGGCTCTTGGGTGCGCTAGGCAGGTGGTCTACCACTGAGCTCCATCTCCAGCCCCTTTTAAGACAAGGTTTCCTTAAGTTGCTAAGTTGTCCAGGCTGGCCTCAAACTCGAAATCCTCCTGCCTCAGTCTTCCAAGGAGCTGGGGTTGTACAGACGTATACTATTGCACCTACCAGAGGTGACCGAGATCTCTAAGGGGTCCCTTTGCGAGGGAAACTCAGATCATTTATCCACCACACCTTTGTTTTGAACGTACAAACTGGAATAGCAAATAATAACCAGCTAACATTTGCTGAGTGTTCAAAGACAGCCATTTTTTCCTTTCCCACAGTACTGGGAATCGAACTCAGGGACTTGCCAGGCAGGTGCGGTGCCACTGAGCTACATCCCCAGCCCTTTGCTGAGCTTTCATTAAACGTCAGGCCCTGTCTGTGTACTGTACAAGTCCTCTTCATCCTCATAACAAATCTGCAAGAGGAGGCTAAAGATTATTCCCATTCACAAGCAGGTAGAGACTGAGGCACAGGGCAGTTTATAAGTTTTCCAGCAGCAAGCAGCACAGCAGGCCTGGAACACCAGCAATCAGGGGGCTGAGGTAGGAGGCCTGCACATTCAAGCCCAGCCTGTATGATTAGCGAGACCCTGTCTCAGAATGAAAAGCAGAAATGGCGAAAGGTGTAGCTCAGTGGTGCAGAACGCCAGGATTGTGAAGAAAAGGAGAGTCTTAACTCAGCCCTAGGCTTTTGGAACTACCCCAGGAACCCCCAGATCCCCTGGATTAAAAAACTTCCCTGGGGGCCCCATTCCCTTAGGATCTGGTCTTCTTGGAAACCTCTGGAATCACAGCAAGATCCACATATGGTGCACACTGTGCTCCCTGTGGGGGCGAGGGTCCCTTCGCCTTCCTCACATTTTCACCGATGGATTTTTAAAAATTTTGTCAAACGCGTTTTATGCCAGTATTGAGACGATCATATGGTTTCGCTCTTAATCTGTGAACGTGGTGAAGTGCATGAATAAATTGTCAAATGGAAGGAACTTTGCATTCCGGGGACAAACCCAGCTCTGTCATCACACGGCTTGCTTTAACCCATTTGCCAGTCTATCTGCTAATATTCTGGTTCAGATTTTTGGTTTGAGGCCAGCATGCGTAACAGTGAGACCCCATCTCAAAAACTTCTTTTTTTTTTTAACATCTGTGTTCATAAGGAAGACTGGCCCATAATTTTGTTTCTCTTTATGTTTTATTTTGTTTTTGTTTTGTTTTGCTTTGTTTAGTTTTCTGAGACAGGGTCTCACTATGTAGTTCAGGCTGGCCTTGAACTCACAGCATCCTCCTGCCTCAGCCTCCTGAGTGCTGGGATTATAGGAGTGTGCCACCATGCCTGGGTCAATTTTGTTTCTTGTCTGGTTTGGCCTTATGGCTAAATTGGAAACAAAAATCAGTTGGCAGCGAATCTCTTTTCTTTAGTCACTGGAAGAACTGGCAGCTGGGTGTGGTGACGCATGTCTGTGATCCCAGCACTTGGGAGGCTGAGGCAGGAGGATTGCTGTGAGTTCAAGGCTAGCGTGAATTACACAGCGAGATCCTGTCTCAAAAAATCAAAAACAACAAAAACAACAAAAGAACTGGCATAACATTTGAATGCTCAGTAGAATTTGTGCATAAAGGCATCGGGGCCTGGTGTCATTTGTGTGCTTGGCACAGTCTACAGGCACAGGAAGGCTGAGAAACTACTGCAGTTGAAGGGGTGCAGAGCAAACTGCGAGGGCCCCATCTTTCCCCCCTGAAGTATGAATCTGAGGTCTCCTATCTGGGTCTCAGGGTCTGCATTGGGCCCTTCCTGCGATTATGTCATCATCCGGCCCAGATCCCTGCTCTGGAGGGCGAGGCCCTGTGCACCTAAGGACGGACCAGGAGGCAGCCCAGCTGCGCTGAAAGACCAGGGGCCTCTCAGAAATGCAACCCCATCTCTGCCCTGATCTGAAGTTTCCCGCTCACTTCAGGGTGACCTCAAAGTGGTTCTTTTCCCGCTAGGGTTGTTTGGGAAAAACCTGCAAGAGCCATAGGGACCTGCTTGAGGTCACAGAGCCACGGAGGGCCGACCCTGGCCTCAGCGGGCCCCACACTCACCTCCCGGCCAGTGAGGATGTGCCGGGCCAGTTTGACTTTGGCGAAGTTGCCCTTCCCAATGGTCCTCAGCAGGCGGTAGTTGCCCACATGGGGCTGCTCCTCAGGGCAGGAGGCGATGGAGTTCCGGCAGCGGGCACCGAGGGAGCGGCTGGACCAGGACGGCCCTTTGTCTGACGATCGGCCACTGCCCAAGGTGCCATGCTGGCAGGGGAGATGGGTGTGAGCCGTCCTGTCCCCCTCCAGCGGCACCTGGGGGCCCCAGCCACGGCCCCACTGTGGATCCTTGTCAAACTCAGGCCACAGAGACCTGTGACCCAGCCCTCTGGGTGCTCCATCTCTTTATAGAGAGGCGCCGGGAATAAAACTCAAGAGGCCCAGATTCTGCAGCACCCGGGGCCTCAGACGTCCGGCCACCTCTTGTGACTGGCACGATGCTTCACCCGGATGCTGCGTACCTCATCCTGATCCATGGTGGCCTCAGTCCAGACCCAGTGCTCCCTCCAACTGCCAGGGACCTGACACTGTTTTATCATCATACCCACAGCACCGCTCAGTTCTATTCCAAACCCTGACAGCTGACTGTCCCCAGGACTTTATAGGTATCGTCCCCTTATCCCTCTGTCTCAGTTACCGCTGGTCAACCGTGGCCCTAAAAATATACTAGTTATTATTATTAATTTCTTACTGAACCTAATTGATATATATATATATATATATTTATTTATTTATTTTTGTATATTTAATTGAACCCAGGGCCTCAGCACTGAGCTACATCCCCAGCCTTCTTTTCATGTTTTACTTTGAGACAGAGTCTTGCTAAATTGCCAAGTTGCTCAGGCTACTTCAAACTTACAATGCTCCTGCCTCAGCCTCCCAAAATGGGAGGATTACAGGTGGGTGACACCACGCGTAACTTAGAATTCAATTTGATCCCAGGTAAAAAAGCACAGAAAAAAAGAACATATATAGGGTTTGGTTTCCAGCATCTCCTGGGGCTCTTGGAACGTGTTCCCCATGGATAAGGGGGAACTGTTACATTCCTCTTACTGTTGCCCCATATTCCGTCCAAGCCAGCCTTCCTTGGCAGTCACGGTAGGAAGCACTGCTTCGGCCCGGCCGCCCTCCACCACCCTGCTCCTCCCACACCATCCCGCCCCGTCTCGTGTTCTGATCCTGCTGTCCTGTCCCTCACAGGGCTCTCTCCCCCACAGGTCACCGGCCCTGTCCTGATTGTGAGCCCCAGGGACTGCGCTTCCCTTTCAGGGCTGGGGCCCAGGGTGCCAAAGTGGCTCTGTGCAGGCTGGGCCGCCCCCGTGCCCTCCTCGGGGCTGGGACACAAAGGACGAGGCACAGAGGCAGCCAGGGAGCCGAGGCATCGCGCCTGCCCCTTGCAGGGAACCTGTGCCAGGCCGCTCCGCAGTGATGCCGACCCACATTCCAAGCGCGATGCCACACGGTGCATCCACATCCCCATTTCTCTGGCGGGGATACTGAGGCCTCAACCGGGCTCTGATCCTCGCTGTGGCCGCTGGCACCGCCCCACGTTTGCGCACCACCTCCACAAAGCAGCAGGCAACACCCGGACCACGTCCTGTGCAATGGGCACCTGCCTGCGGTTAGTCCTGCGGGCACCCAAGGAGGAAGCTGCCTGCACCTCCATATTACAGAGGGGAAACCGAGGCTCGGGAGGGAAGGTGCCTGGTTGAGGTCACACTGTCCATTCACGCAGATCCTCAGGGCCAGTTGCAAACTGCACCATTGCCACTTACTGGCACTAACCATTTGCCACCCTGAGCTCCAGTGTGGGTCCAGTTTTGAGGCGCATTCTACAGGCAGGGACCCTAAAAGCTCCCCTAAGGCTGCGGCAGGGTCAAGGTCACAGGGTAGATGGGGCAGAGCTCCTGACCTGGCTCACTCCACTCCCTGCGGCAGCCTGGAGCCCCCTCCTAGGGGAGGGCAGGGAGATCCTGGCCAATTGGGCCTCCGATCCCCACTGAGATAAAGGCACACAGAAGAATCTCTGGTGGGTGTCACCTGGGGCCCGCGGAGGTGGCACAGTGTGCCCCAGACCTCTGTCAGGGCCAGCTGGGGTGGTGGGTAACAGAGCCCTGGGGCCGGGGGCAGGAGCTAAAATTGGCCAGCACTACCAGCTGGCCCAGATCCCTCCCGCCGGGCTGGCGCCCCGACACCAGGCCTGTTACTAGGGAACCCGGAGGGCTGGCCTCCTGGTGAAGCACCCTAGAACCCGTGTTGGGGAGCACAGCCCTAGGTGGCCATTACCATAGTAACCAGGTAGCAGGGGAAGGGGCTGCAACCTCTGATTCCAGAGGAAGACAGGTGACTGACTCAGCCAGGATGGATGGACAAGCAGAGCTGGAGAACAGAAGAGAAGCAGCGATGCTGAAATCCCCCCCATGCCCAAACCGTAACAACAAAAAGAAGAGGAAGTGCTTGGGTGCGCCCCATTTTACAGATGCAGAAACAGAGGCCCAGAGAGGTGAGGTCACTGGCCCCAGGTCACATAGCTAGGGAGGAACAGAAACTTGATTGGAACCCAAGTTCACCTGAACAATTAAAGTAAGAACAATAATGGCATGTAATCTTCGGAAAAGGTCCCTGGCAGGGAGGTGCTATCATCAACTCCACTGAGAGCCAGGAGATTGAGGCTCCAGCAGGCTTTTCGAGACACACAACTAATGACAGCCCTGGGCTGCGAACACGCGGCCTTCTGACTCACACCCACAGCCACACAGCCTCTGAGGAGTACTTCCTCTTTGCCAGGCCTTGCCCACATCATCTTGGGTAACCCTAAGGGACTTAAGTGGTCACCCCTGTTTTCCAGGGCAGGAAACTGAGGCTCAGGGAGGGAAAACCAGTTGGTGAGAACACAACTCAAATTAGCATACAGAGCCAGCACTCGAACCCAGGACTGTGGTCTGGGTCTCCACCTACTGACTGGGGAAGGGAGGTGCTGAGCCCGAGACTCCCAATTGGACTTCTGGCCAACAGCAACAATGGTAGGGTCTCCTGAGGGGGATCAAGGGCAGGATAAATGATCTCTGATGGAGATCTGGGGTGAAGGTGACCAAGGGGGACCGCAGGGACCTGGCCAGAAGGCCTGAGGGGAGGGACAAAGACCCCAGCTGAGGAGGAGCTGGGTATGGCTGGTGGGCTGGTCTTCAGAGACACCAGGAGTGATCAGAAATGTGGGACATGGGGAGGGGGTCTCGTTGGAATTGCTGTGGGCGGCAGTCTAGGGCAGGGGGCCTGGGAATGATGGGAAGGGACAAAGCCACAGGGCAGTGGAGCTCAGAGGCCGAGATGCCTGGGCCAGGGCCTGGGCATGTGGGAACTCCCATGGGGCAGAGGAGAAGAGGGCTTCTAGGAGCTGCAAGAACCAGGAAAGGAGCTGTGGGCCTGGCGGAATGGAGGAAGGGGCTTCCTAGGCAAGGGGCTGTACAGAGGGCTAAAAGCTGAGCCTGGAGGGGGCTCAAGGGGCCTAGGAACCTGGGGAGCACCTTCAGCAGGGACCCCAGAGCAGAGAGCGCTTGGAGCCAGGGCGGGACCAGGGCCTTCAGATGTGGGAGTCTTCTGGAAGCTGGAGGGGACCCAGGCCTCTGGAGTGAGGTGGGGGCTTCCTTGGGAGGCCAGACCCCAGCAAGGGAAGGGGAGGCCCTGGGGCAGGGGAAAGGTTAGACCTGGACATCTAGGGGAAGGGGTGGTGGCCTGTGAGGAAGGGGCCTGAAAAGGGGTCAAGGGGCTGGAGGGGGGCTTGCCTGCAGCTGAGGAGCGATACGGGGAGGATGAGGCCTGCAGTCAGACTGGTCCCAGACCTAGAAATCCGAGCCTGGGTTGGGGGCCTGGAGCTTGGTTGGAGGCCAAGGCTTCCTGGGAGAGGAAGAGACCAGAGAGGGCCTGGGTGGCATCTGGGGGGCCCTGGGGTGGCAAAAATCCAAGGACAGGACTGCTTGTCAGATAAGCACCAGGCCTGGGAGTGGAGAGACCTTGAAGAAGCCGGGCAGGGCCCTGGGCCCAGGAAAGGTGGCACCGGCTTCCTGAAAGGCTGCTCACAGCTGGGCCGGCGGGCGGATCCTGGAGGGGCAGAGGGCTGGGGCGCAGAGGAGGGGGCCTCCGGGAAGAGGGCACTCACGGGGAGCCGCCGAGGCAGGGCTGACGGACGGGCCTGGCTGGGAGGGGGCCAGGGCAGGGCCTGAGGGGTCAAGGGCCCAGCGATCCGGGAAGGGGGAGCCGCGGGATGCGGACGGCGGGGGGCCTGAAGGACGGGCGGGCGGAAGCGGTCTGCAGAGGACCCGAGGGGTCCCGGGAGAGGGGCGCCGCTAGGGGTCGGGCCGGACGGGGTGGGGAAGACCGGAAGTGCAGGAAGGGTCAGAGGCTGGCGAGTCGGTCCGGGAGCCGGGGCCGGGACTCTCGAGGTGCAGGGTTCGGCGCCGACCCGGCCGGGCTCCCACGGGGCTGGGCCCCACTCACCGTGTCCGAGTTGCGATCGTTGCCCGGGGCCAGCGCCGTCCGCGAAGACATCTTCTCCAGGTCGCCAGGGCAGGGCGGCCGGGTGGGGGGGGCGGGGAGCCCGGGGTCCCCTCTCTTCCCCTCCCCCCCCGCCGGCCGGGGACGCGAGCTCAAAAGCTGGGCGCCGTGGACGCCGAGTCCGCGCCGCGGAAGGGGCAAGGCGAGGTGACGGGACGGGCTCCGAGGGACCTAGTGGCCCCGCGCAGGGAGGCCCGGGGGCGCCATGGGGTCAGCCGGCGGCGGCGGCGGCGGCGGCGGAGGGGGCGCGGAGGGGGCGCGGAGCCGGCCGGGGCGGCGGCGGAGGGAGGCGGCGCAGGGGCCGGGGGAAGGGACGTCAGGGAGGGGAGGGGCCGCTGGGGCCACGCCCCTCACGCCGGCCCTTAAAGGCGCAGGCCTAGGCCGGCCGGGACTCTGGGGGCGGGGGCAGGTCTGGGCGTGCCCGCCGGGAGCTTGTTCCCACAGGACGGCAGAGGCTGGGCCGGGAGGAGGGGAGCGAAACGGAGACACGCAGGGCCGAGCGCCAGCCCAGAGACGCGCAGAAAGATTGCGAGAGATGCAGAGGTGGAGAGACAGAGACACAAAGAGGCAGGGACGGACGCCGGGGCAGGCAGAGACAAAGAGATGGACAGAGAGGCAAAGAAAAGACCCAAAAAGAGAAGGACAGAAGGAGGGGGCCGCGGGGAGAAAGTGGGCCAGAAGAGACGCGGAGAGGAACAAAGACAGGGACGGAGACCCGTAACCCACACAGGCGGACAGAGAGACAAAGAGACCCCGAGAGGGAGATCAGAGGCGGGGGCCGAGCCGGGCTACACACCCAGCGCCGCGGGGACCACTCGTGTGTCCAGCCCAGAGTGCGCGGAGGAAAGAGGAGCACTGAGTGGCCTTTCTGCGATCACGCCTCCCGGAGCGAGATCCACTCCCTGCCCCGTCTGTTCCAACGTCTGCTTGTCCTCCGAGCCTCAGTGCCCCTTTCTCAAAACCAGGTGTTTGTAACAGCAGGGTGCCGGGCTAGCTCCGGAAAGCTGGTTGTTAAAATTAAAGAATTTTGGAACTGGTTGTTAACCGCGGCCATTATTAAAATTAATTAAATTAGGCAAACATGCAATTAAATAAATTATATTAAAAACAAAGGTACTATACACTCATCACATCTTGATCATTTCGCTTCATTTTCCTATTTTCTGCGCTTTTCAGGTTATTTGCATCTTTTGTATCCTTATGAAATTGCTATAGAAGAGTGGGCTTCTGTGTATCTCTGCCCCAAAATGTTTTCAGGAACTCAGCGTACTAACTTGAAATTGCCCCTGGTGAGGATATTTACATCATGGAAATTGCCAAAGGTTGCAAATCGATATTTACCAGCCTATGGAGGGTTGAGGCCATCAGTTTCGTGGATTCACGGAAGCCGCTCTGGTGCTGGGCTCCGAGCTCGGGGTCTTTTCCGTGACCCAGGGACCATCCTTACCGAAGAGGAAGTCCTAGAGCCCCGAGGAAGAAAAGTTACACTCCCGGAAAGTGACAGAGCCAGCGGGTGGCCAGGTTGGGATTTTAACTCAACTTCTCCCAAACTCCAGAACTTGGGCTCTTAACCACGGTGGTTTCCTGTTTAACAACAGCAACCTCAGTATACAAAAAATCCATAAGTATATAAGTAAATTGCTCATCCGGTCGAGGGAGGATTAGAACTTCATTAATACTATTATTTAGCAAATGAGGCCTGAGAAGTTTTAAGGCTGGGGGCAGAGAGGAGGGGTTCAGGATGGGGTTCTAGAAGCTTTGTGATCCCCGAGTCTCTGCAGGTTGAGGGTTGGAGCTAGGGGAGTAGGATGGGGGGCTGAGCCTCCCCCAAGCCCTTCCCAGCCCGTGCTTACGCCTGCAGTTCTCCCATACACCACAAGGGAGCAGCAGGTCACCGTCCTACACACGTGGGACACACGTGAGGGGCCCCCACCCCCCCCAGTTGGCGCGGTCTCCACTCCATTTCCAAGATGAGGGACGCTGAGGATTGGATTACGGGGATGAAGTGTAACAAGCAGACCTTGGAAACCTTAAGTTTAATAAGAAGTCGACACAAAGATATTTATGTGATTCTGTTTATAAGATGTACCAGGCCATGATTGCAAATGCCTGTTTCTACAGCCCAGGGGAGGCTGAGGCAGGAGGATCTTCATGAGTTTGAGGCCGCCCTGAACTACATAGCGAGACTGTGTCTCAACAAAGCAAAACATTTATATGACATCTAGGATAGGGAAATTCCCGGAAACAAAGAGTGACTTGGTGCCAAAGGCTGGGGGAAAGGGGTGAGGTGTGACTCTACTGGGTCCAGGGTTTCTTTTTGGGATGATGCAAGTGTTTTGGAATTAGATAACAGTGATGCTTGCTGCAACCTTGTCAGTAACTAAGACCCATAAGTCACATATTTTTTGTTGTTGGTGGTGGTTGTTTTTTTTTGGTACTGGGGATCGAACTCAGGTCCTTGCACTTGTGCAGCAAGTCACATATTTTAAAAGGCAAATGTTATGGTAAAAGAATGATATCTCAGGGCCGGGGATTTAGCTCAGTGGTTTCGTCACCTGCTGTGCAAGCGCAAGGACCCAAGTTCAATCCCTGGTACCAAAAAATAAAAAATAAAAATAAAAATAAAGATAAATCATGATATCTTGGGCCAGGGATTTAGCTCAGTGGTGCCACCACCTGCCTCACAAGCGCAAGGTCCGGAGTTCACTCCCTAGTACCAAAAAAAAAAAAAAAAAAAAAAAGATATCTTGATTTTTTTTAAATTAAAAAGGAAAGGAAGGAGAGCTGGACATGATGGCACACACACTTGTCATCCTAGCTACTTGGGAAACTGAGGCAGAAGGATCATGAGTTTGAGGTCCACCTGGGCAACTTAGCAACTTAGCAAGATTCATTTTCAAAATAAAAAATGAAAAAAGAAGCTTGGAGTGGTGCCGCATACCTGTAGTCCCAGCACTCAGGAGGCTGAGGTAGGAAGATTGCTGTGAGTTTGAGGCCGGCCTGAACTACATAGTGAGACCTCATCTCAAAAAAAAACAAAAAAAAAACAAAAAAGAAAAAAGGGCTGGGATGTCACTCAGTGTGAAGGCCCTGGCTTCAAACCCTAGTACTAGAGATAATAATAGTAAATAATGATGAGGATGGTCTGTAATCCCAGCACTCCAGAGGCTGAGGCAGGAAGATCACCATGAGTTCGAGGCCAGCCTGGGCTAAATGTGAGTTCAAGGCCAGAACCAAATTGCAAGACCTCATCTCAAAAGCAGCAAAATGAAACAGGATATATAAATAAAAGAACTGGGGATGTAGCTCTGTACTCTCTGGGTTCAATCCATAGTATCTACCCCCCAAAAAGGGGGAAGGAAGAGAGGGTTGAACATCATCACAGCATAATGGGGACCCAGGAAGCTTCCCTCAGAGGCTGAGGCCTGCCCCGACCCTCTCACTCCCACAGTGCAGCCTCCTCCCCCTGAGCCTATTGTCCTTAGGATTCAGGCCCAGTGGTCTTCAGATCTTGCAGTCTGAACTCCTGACCTACTTTACTTCCCAGCCTCTGTCCACAGTGCTCAGGGACTGATTGCTGATTGCAGCTCCAAAGCCTCCCTCTGCCGGGGCAGGGAATCGAGGCTGAACACACTTGAGCTATGCCTGGGCCCCTGAACAGCCCTCTGACCCTGAAACCCACCCTTCAAAGTGACCTTAACCCCCACATCCAGTGCCACCCACCCCATCCCCACACCCCCAGTCCCAACCACACTCTACCTCCTTCTCCATCAGCAACTTAACCTTGGCAGGAAGACTGTCCCCAAAGGCCCCTCCAGTCCTCAGCCCAATGTCCTCATTTACAGTTTTGGGGTTTTTTTGAGACAGAATCTCGCCACGTTGCTAAATTGTAGAGGCTGAGCTCAAATTTGCAATCCTCCTGATACAGGGAAAATAAATGTAACTCTCAACCTGCTAGATGTCAGATATGCCGAGTTTGTGTGCTCCAAAATTGAAGAATGAATTCTAAGGAACAACAAAGTTAGGGAAAAAATAAAGTAGGAAAAATTTATTGAGAAAGATAACTCCAAGAGAAAGGAGGGGACCCAAAGGTGGGTTGCTGTGGACCCCACTTCATAAAAGAAGTTTTATAGAGTAAAATCAGGAGGTGGGTATAATGTAGGTCAAAACTATGATCAACCAATAAGATGACAAGTAGAGCCGCTTAGGTAATACTGATCCAATGGGGAAGCAGGTCACGTGGCAAGTGTACCTGGAAAGAACAAGGACCTTTTTAGGAAGAGATGGATCAGGAGGTCCTGGTCACCCACCTGGGTGACTGATGTCTATCTGGACTTTATTGGACCAGGTGATACCAATTATAGTATAATCTTCAATTTATTGCTTATCCCTTGGGGAGGTATGTAGGCCCGGTCACCCTGTCTTTATCTTGAGGCCTGGCCTTTGATAGATGTGCCTCCAGCCACAGTTATAGTATGTTCTCATCCTCTACACTGACTCCCTCGAGGGCCTAGCCCTGTTTGACTGCCTAGAATATTTCTACCTGACTTAGCTGTGTAGAATACTTCTGCCTCAGCCTCCCAAAGTGCTGGCATTACAGGTGTGCTTACCATGACCAGCTGTTTTATGGGGCTTTACTCAGCACCTACTACGGGCTGGGCTGCATCTGGGGCTAAGGTGATGAGCAAAGCCAGTGGAGCCTGCTCTGCTGCCCTGATTGTGGAATGGGAGAGTCAGAAACTCTTCCAGGGAGACAAATGCAGCCCCTGGTCATTTCAAACTGGAAGGCGCTGGAAAGGAGCTGATGAGCAGAGCTGTATCCCTGGTGGAGACGCTGGTGTTGAGGCGGGAATGACCAGGAAGGCGGGGCGAGCAGGGCTCTCAGGCAGAGCCGTGATTTCAGAGCCATGCTCCATGCCGCTCCTGCTTGGTCCCTGGCCTCTGGACCAGTGGGCCATCCTAGTCTTGTCCCCATGCCGGGGCCCTGAAGAGAGGTGCGCTCCTCCGGGGACCCCACGGCCCCTCTGGAGGTCTCAGCCTGGTACCACTGGTCACTCTGGGCTCCCGTCCACCAGGGGCGTTTGCCTGGGGTGCCCAGGATGGCATTGTCACCTCCAGAGGCGTGAAGAGCAGGCAGGGGCGGATGGCGGATTCCGGCCCGGGGCAGGGTGGGGACAGGGCTGTGGGCCTTGTCCTTCCCAGCCCAACCACAGGCTGCCTAAAAGGGCAGACAGATAATGAGT